TACTATATATATATATATATATATATATATATATATATATATATATAGCGAACGCGATTTCAGTACTATGTGTGATTGCATGTGTAACAGATTTGTGATATATGTGAATGTATTTGTTTGTAAACAATACTTATTATGTACAATTTAATGTTTTAAAATATGAAATAATATGATTACAGAAATGATAAAAAAAAATATAGCAAACAAAATGAATAATAGTAAAAAAAATGATTTTTATGAAATGGAAAAATGTAGTAAATGGATTGATACATATAATTTAAATAAGGTTTGCATATTTTATTTATGTGATGATTGTTTTATTAATTCAAAATATATGATTAAATTTTAATAAAAAATTTAATATTAGAAATTCTTTTTTTTTCTATTTTTTTAATAAACAAAACTTAGAGGTTAAGTAAATAATTATAATATTTTTATTATATTGATATACTTTACTATTTTATTATAGATTTATATTTAAAAATAAACAGATTCATAATTATAAATGATAGAAATATAATAATATAACAATATAAAAAAATTAGTTCACATATCATATATTTTTAGGTCTGTTTACAATTTCCTGATAATCTTTTATCAGATTCAGTAGAAATTGCATTACGTTTAGAAAATTGTATTAACAAAAAAGTATATATTTTGGGAGATACTTCTTATGGTAGTTGTTGTGTTGATGAAATAGCTGCTCAACATATTAATGCAGATAGTATAATACATTTTGGTCATGCTTGTTTAAATCCTACTACTCGTTTACCTGTATTCCATGTGTTACCCAAACAAGAAATTGATATAATAGAAATTACTAATAAATTTAAATTAAATTTTATTGATCAATTTGAAAAAATTTTATTTTTTTATGATATTGCTTATGCACATAAAATTGGTAAGTTTTTGAAATACTGATAATTTTTAATCTATCATAAAATGTTAATTATTATATTTTTTTTTATTAAATATATAATTATCTCATAAATATATTTTTGTTTCAGAAAGTATATATAAAATATTAAATCCTATTTATAAGAATTTAGTTTTTACTTCATTAAATTGTACCTCTAATGTGGAATTTACAGATAATAAAGATAATTCATCTACAATAATTTTAGGTAGATGTTTTAAATTAGATAAAGAATATAAATTAGAAGATTATGTAGCATTTTTTTTGGGAAATGATGGAAGGACATTTATTACATTAGCAATGACAATTTCAGCAAAAAAATGGTACTATTTTGACAATAATATTATTGAATATAAAATATTAAATACTTCGTGGTTAAAGAGAAGAAGATTTGTAGTTGAAAAATTAAAAGATGCTAAAGTTGTTGCTATAGTTGTAGCTACTTTAGGCATTAAAGATTATCTTAAAATAATAACAATGATTAAAGATATTTTAAAAGAAAAAAAAAAAATCTTACATTTTAAGTGTTGGTAAAATAAATCCAGCTAAACTTGCTAATTTTCCTGAGGTATGATAAATTTTACTTGAAGTATTAACTCTATTATTAACATTGATAATATTATATTTTTATAGATTGATGCATTTGTTGCAATAACATGTCCCGAAAATGAAATATTTGATTCTAGAGAATTTTTAAAACCAATACTAATGCCTTATGAAGTAGAATTAGCATTTAATATTTCAAGAGAATATTATACACAATATTGTATGGATTTTAGACAAATACTTCCTGGAGGAATTAATTATATTGATTTTAAAACATCAACTGATTCAGATATTTCTTTAATTACGGGAGATCTCAGAAACTATGATGAAAGTGCTTCATATATAAATAAGATGAATGCTTTAGTAATTAGTAATACATCAGGTATTACATCAATAAATAAAAATAAAATTTTAATATTATTAATTTACATTTTATAAATAATATATTATATTATTATTTTAATTGATTTAGATATTGTTGCAATTGGAAAAGCAGGAGCAGAATTTTTGAATAATAGATCATGGAAAGGAGTTGAACAAAGATTAGGCAAAGATGTAGTACATGCAGCAGAAATTGGTCGTTATGGTTTACCAAATTGTTATGAAAATGAACCTATTTTACAAAAAAAAATGATGAATAGATATAATAAATGTAATAGTTTTATGTAATAATACAATTTTATTTAAAAAAGAAAATTTTATTAATTTTTTTATATCATAAATTAGATATACATGTAATAGATTATCACTCAATATATTTAATGACATTTAATATTTTATTTATAATCACATGCAATTATAAACAAGAAAAGCAAATAGTAAGAAAAAATAGAGATAGATTAAAAATTAAAGAATTAGCATTATTTTTATGTCACAAATGAAATATATAGATAAAGAAAGCATCATAACAACATAAATATTTTAAATAACAAATTTCATCAAATACTAAATAAGATACAATAAAAATTGAGGTTTAGCGCTATCTTTTAAGTGTTTTTTAAAAAAATGTCAAAATCATTTTTCTCAAAGTATTTAAAAAATAATGTTAATATAATTCTTATTTTTTCTGTATCTTTTTCTTTTTTTCTAACTCAATTATTTATTCTTCTGTAAGTTTCACTTGTGACACTTTAGAAATAATACTAATTTCTGAATTTTTATTATATTTCTAATTTTTTATTTACTCTCTTTATTTATATTTGCTTTGTAAAAATTTACGCGCTTAATATTGATCATTAAAATAAACCGTAAAATGCGCATTTTTAAACATTCATAATTTTGATGTAATGATATAATGATTTACTAACATTAATTTAATTCATTCTTTTATTCATTAAATATTATCAAATGATTACAAAAAAAATATTTCAAAACGAAGTTTTTTATTACATTATTAATTTTTTTTGAATACTTCTTTTATATTTTTCTAATAGTTTTTCTTAATTTATTATTTAAAATATAAAGCTTAAATATAATTTCTTTTTATTGAAACAATATGAAAAATATTATGTTCAATATATGACGTAGCACGCACCGAGATATCGAATCAACTGTCATTGTGATATTTTATATAATCAGTGGAATGTGTATTTAAGTAAAAAAAAATAATTTAAATATGAATTTTTATTCGATTAATAATAAACTCTTATGTAAAAATTATATAATTTATATTACATTTTTCATATTGAGTATATGGATTGTAAAATCATGTGCACAAGAAAATTCTAACCTTAAACATGAAAATATTACTTTAGATGATAAAAATATCGTATTAAAAGATTCTATGCCAACGAATTTAAGTACCGATATATTAATAGAACATACATTAAATAATTCTAATAACAATAATTTAAAATTAAATATTACTATACCAAACATAGTAAATATATCTCAAAATATATTTACAACTACAATCCGATCAGATAATAATTTTAATAATCAAACTACAGAAAAGATTAATATATTGTCTACGAATATTACTAATAATAAAAATGGAAACAATACGTTAGATTTCACAATTTCATCACAAAATTCAGATATTAATAATACAACTAATACAAGCACAACAACAGTTGTACCAGCAGAACCAATATTACCTGATAAAGGATCAGCAGAAGAAGAACATAATAGTTCTATGTCTATATTTTTTGTCCTTTGTGTTTTAGCTTTAGGCATTTTACTTATACATCTTATGTTACAAACAAATTTTCAATATCTACCAGAGTCAGTAGTAATTGTTTTCTTGGGAGGAGCTATTGGTATGATTATAAATCTTATGTCAAATCAAAATATAGCTAATTGGAGAAAAGAAGAAGCCTTTTCTCCTACTGCATTCTTCCTTGTACTTCTTCCACCTATTATATTTGAATCAGGATATAATTTGCACAAAGGAAATTTTTTTCAAAATATTGGTAGTATTTTGGTTTTTGCTATATTTGGTACAGCAATATCTGCATTTGTTATTGGAGCTGGAATTTATTTGTTGGGATTAGCTCAGGTAGCATACAAACTTAGTTTTGTTGAAAGTTTTGCATTTGGATCATTAATATCAGCAGTAGATCCTGTTGCTACTGTAGCTATATTTCATGCCTTAGAAGTAGATCCAGTATTAAATATGTTAGTTTTTGGTGAATCCATTTTAAATGATGCCATTTCTATTGTATTAACTACATCTGTATTGGAATCCAATAATGCAACAACTACCAGTGAGGCTATTATACTTGGCTTAAACAGATTTTGTCTTATGTTTTTTGCCTCTGCTGGTATTGGAGTTGTTTTTGCTCTTATAAGTGCATTACTACTTAAACACGTGGACCTCAGAAAAAACCCTTCCCTTGAGTTTGGACTTATGTTAGTATTTACTTATGCACCTTATGTTTTGGCAGAAGGCATACAATTATCTGGTATGAAGTATAAATTTTCAAATTCAATATATTTTAATATAATAAAATAAGTATGTACTTTAATGTTTAAATATAAAATTATTTCAGGTATTATGGCAATTTTATTTAATGGAATTGTAATGTCACATTATACACATTTCAATTTATCAACTGTTACTCAAATTACAATGCAACAAACTATGAGAACTTTAGCATTTATTGCTGAAACTTGTGTATTTGCTTATCTAGGATTAGCTCTATTTAGTTTCAGACACAGGGTAAAATAATATAATATAAAAATAATAATATAAAACTTTTAATTCTATAATATATTTTTATAATATTTTACAAATATTTAATTGTTAATTATAGGTTGAACCAGCACTAATTATATGGTCTATAATTCTATGTTTAATTGGTAGAGCTGCAAATATTTTTCCTCTAGCCTTTCTTGTAAATCGTTTTCGAGAACATCAAATTACTAAAAAAATGATGTTCATAATGTGGTTTAGTGGATTACGTGGTGCTATTTCTTATGCTTTATCATTGCACTTGGATTTTAGTGATGAAACACGACATGTGATTATAACTACTACATTAATTATTGTATTATTTACAACATTAATATTTGGTGGTTCCACTATGCCATTATTAAAATTTTTAAGAGCAGAAAAGAAACAAAAGAATAATAGTAGAAGAAAAAGGAAAGATAAAGAAGTTTCATTAAGTAAAACTAGAGAATGGGTATATTTCATACATATAATACTTATTTATCTAAAAAATATTTATATTTATTATTATTTATTATTTTTTTAGGGACAAACAATAGATTCTGAACATTTATCAGAACTTACAGAAGAAGAAATTGAAGTATCTTTTCTTCAATCTCGAATTCGTGGTTTCGCAAGATGGGATTTAAAATTTTTCATTCCATTTTTCACAAGAAGATTTACTCAGCAAGAATTGAAAGATTGTAAATCTCAAATGACAGATTTAACAAATCAATGGTATCAAGCTATTCGAATTAGTCCAATGGAATCTGATGATGAAGTAACAAATACATCAACAGCACAACTAAACATAAATTTATCAGTGGAAAATCAAAATCAAATACATGGAAAACAAAGTAAAAGACGTCCAAGTCACGGGTCTATATTAAGTATATAATTTATTTTGTGTGATGTGCTAAATGTGCTATCATTGCTCTGCTTATATTAAATACATAAATTTTTATTGATAATAACTTCTATTATAATTTAAGAAAAATATTTTCTGTGATTATAGTTTTTATTTTTGTTTGTATATATTTCTAGTGTATAATATTTCTATATTTTTAAATATGAATAATCCATCTATTGATTTATATTGAATATTAATCTTTATGACAATAATATTAATATTATTTTTATATTATTATATTAATTATTATTAATAATTAGTATTATTTCCAAAGAAAATTAATAAAAATATTATTATTTATTAGCTGCAGTAAACAATTGTTATATAGTAACAAAAATTTAGTAAAGAAGATAATATGGCATCTAAACATTTGCTTTGCTATATCAAAGCTTATTGTTGGTGAGGGGTTGTATTTAATATATATTAAGATTTTGAAGCATTAATGAATTTAAAATTAATTTACAGAGAGGACGAAGATTGGTCTGATTAATTATCAAATAAATTTAGTATCAATTTAATATCATTAATGAATTATATGATAATAAATTTATGAGTATTTAATTTTGAATGAAAATATTATTATACATCATATATTTAATATATTTTATCTGCCAATTTATAGTAAAAATTTATATTATTAGTATTAAATTTGTACATATCACGTATATACACAAAATTCAAATTTATATTTTATATTTTATTAATATATTTAATAATTTATATTTTATTAATATACAATTGATCACTTTTAAAAATATTATCAATTATATTTTTAAAATTAAAATTATATATAAAATTACTATTTAATTTTATATATAATGAATAAGAATAATTATTTTTTTATTTACATTAATTCAATGAAGAAATTGAATAATATAATTAATTAACATAATGTGAAGAAATATGATTAATGATTAAAAAATATTTAAATCATTGCACAAAAAAAAATTATGTATGTCCTAAAATAATTATGCTACATATCATGTAAAATAAATATTTATATAAATTATGAAATTTAGTAAAAATACTTAATAGAAAATATAAATTTAAAATAAAATTAAAAATATGAATTATTGAAAGAATCTATAAATTTAAATTATTTAATCTGAAAATAAATATAGGAGAAATAAGTGAATAAATTTTTTTAAACTAATTAATTTTTTATGAATCTTTTGTAATATGTTATTATTTATGCATATATTGTATATATATATATATATATATAAAATACAAAATGGAAATGAAAATTTTACAAGATATTTTTTCCAAAATCATTGAAATTTATATAAAATATAGGAATTTATATGGAATATATCAATTTAAATCTCAAGTGATATAAATTCCTTTATGTATATTTATATATACTTTTATGGAAAGTATTTTTCACTAATTCTAATTTTGTAAAATAAGAAAAGATGAGATAAATGTTATTATACTATATAGATATCTATATCCAATATAAATATTTACATAAAAAAAATTAACATCATTTCATTTAAGAAAAATGAAGATAACATTTTTTTAATTTTTATGAAATTATTCCATAATATTTTATAATTCAAAATATAATTAGTCTGATTTACATATAAAAATTTCAAATCAATCTGCAATAATTTCGGAAAAAATAGTTTGTAATATTTTATTTGCCTAGCCTATATTACATCATAATAGGATATATATATATATATATATATATATATATATTT